CGTAAATAATGAACGGTCTCTTAGTCTGACAGAACAAATGATTACGATATAATCTTACCATCGGTTTGCTTTGGCCAAGCACTTGCATACAAGCTTGCTGTATCTTTTGGAAGAGTGATGACTTTATCACCAACTGTGGATACTTGCAAATGGATTATCGACACTAATATAAAGTAGATAATGATACAGTATATACTTATCCTTGCCAACCAAATAATAAAAATAAAAGCATAGTTAAACATGTACTAACAAGCAATTGTTAAAGACTGCAATGAAATTTTGCAATGCAATATTTTAATATTAAAATATTATATTGTTTTTTATTTTATTTTCAATATTAATGTTTAAAAACTTTTTGAGCTTGTACGTATTCAACATTTTGGAAAGTAACTGACTATAGATGTACAATACGCTATACGTTGCCACAGAGTAAGTACATACAGAGGTCTCACTTCAGGTTAATTTAGTAAGTGCCCTACAGAGAGGCACTCACCCTCCTGATATTGAAACATATTGAAATTTAATGTTCCAGGGGGTGAATGACTCTCTTTAGAGTACTTGCTAAGAACATGACCGCCAGATACGCGCAGTAAAAGCTACCTTACGGTTTTCAGGCAGAAGTGAGACCTCTGTATGTACTTACTCTGTGACCTTACGGTATTCTGCACACTACAGTCTACATAATCTACACACGGTTGAGGTTCCAAACGGATTTATATAATACACAGTCACAGTAGACTTAAAAAGTAATTCTCTTCTTACTGTCAATATTTTCCCAACTGCGAACGAAGATATTTTGTATGGTAAAAATAAGATAAAATATAAAAAACGTCCGTTTCTTGTGCACCACCAATAAAAACACATGTCGAAAAATCCCGAGATTCCAGTGTAAAAAATCTTTCAGTATCATCAACAACATACTGCGATATCTTATCAGTTCAGGGATTGTTTTGTCTGATACGGTATTAGCCTCAAACTCAGATAAAAGTTTAAATTTTTAATCAGGCATGTAACCACATTCAATGCACGCAGTATTGTATCGTTTAAAGTACTAAATAATTTAAAACATTCAATGAAAATACCTTTTGTCGGCGCCGTTTTGTGTTTCGAAATTGATACGGTGTGGCTTTCTATAGAAAATAAAAAATGTAGCAAATTCAGAAAAATGAAATATATACAATGGATTGTAACTTACTCCAAATGTAACGAGATTAGCACAGCGGTTTAGAAAAATTAATGTGTGCTAATCATCCTTACTTGCAGCTGAGAGCTAAAAAATAGACAATTCCCATTATAGACTAATTTTAAAACTAGGCAAGGAGATGCAAATAAATCACCACAGCTAGAAAGAACATACTAAAATGAGTAAAATTGCAAAGTTTGGTTACGAAATGTTGTAAAATGCTGAAAATATAGCCGTGCAAAGTTTGCAAATTTTGTATATACTGCGTGCGGAAATAAAATTATTCTTACAACTTTCTAAAAGTGGTAGCAATTTCCGCACGCAATACAAAAGTAAAGTATACAAAATTTGCAAACTTTGCAAGGCTATATTTTCCGCATTTTACAACATTTCGCAACCAAATTTTGCAATTATACTAATTTTACCACGCTCTTTCTAGCTGTGGTGATTTATTTGCATCTCCTTGCCTAGTTTGAAAATTAGTCTATAATGGAAATTGTCTGTCTAAAGTGGCACTGCGTCATTAAAATTTTTATTGTCTCCAAGGAAAGAACTCATAAAACTGTAAAGTAACTAATTCGTTTGAAAATATTGATTCCCATGGTTTGTTCTTAAGATATTTAATTTTGTTTGAAACCATGTGACGTCATTTACTCAATTACATATATAATACATAATTGTACAAACACATGACTTGTTTATCTTGTCTTTGCTATTTTTGTGTTATCTTTGCTAGATTTGTTTAAAAAAATCCAGTATGCTTAATGATATAGGTTAAATTAACAAACGCGCCGCATCTCTGGAAAGATTTTGATAAAAAATAGCAAAGATACACAACAATTAATGATATTGCATTATATATGTTATTGAGTAAATGACGTCACATGGTTATAAACAAAATGAAATATCACAAGAACTACATAAGTATGGGAACAAAAATCTTCAAAAAAAGTTTAATACTATTCAGTTTTAAGAGCATTGCCAACAAGGGTGGGTAGTAGCGAAGTAGTTGTAGTTCGCTACTGTAGCGAACTACAATTTTCAAGTAGCCAGTAGTTTTTGACTACTTTTTCAAAACAGTAGCTGTAGTTATAGCGAACTACATTTTGCCTAGAAGTAGCCAAGTAGTTGACTACTTTTCAAACAGCAAATCGCTATTCGCTACTTTTTAAAATTGTTAGCAACTTGATAGAATAGAATGTTATTAAGACACAGTTTATGCCGTGCATGCCGTCTTATTTACTCGCGTAAGTCGGTTTGTTATAGGTTACATTACAGTCTGAGCTATAGTAGATGTTCCAAATACAGTAAAATTAAAAAATATTGAGTAGCGAAATAGCGAAATAGTACGCTACATTTTTTAAGCAGTAGCTGTAGTCAGTAGCGAACTACTTTTGTTCAAAAGTAGCAGTAGTTGTAGCTGACTACATATTTTAGAAGTAGCTGTAGTTATAGCGAACTACAAAAATTTTGTAGTCAACCCACCCTTGATTGCCAATGTACTTTAAGATAATAAAAATTTTAATGACAGTGCCACTTTAAACCAGACAGAATTTCGCATGCATCGCTCAATTCAAAATTCTATTTACCGTTTTCCGTATCTTTATCTTCCGTTTCAAAATCGACTTCGTCTGTGCTGCTATTCACATTAATAATTGTAGGCTGCTCACTTGGATCACTGACCGACATAACACTCGAACCGTTCCAGTTCGCCTTCTCAGTATCTGATGTTAAACCAGCGTCTGTTTGTTTAGTAAACACATTCGATAGTAGCGAGGATGGACTGACTTTTTTTGGCGAAATGGTGGGCGGAGTATATGAAGTCTGATCTTGCAGTTTATTTGTCGAATTGAACGGAATATCTGTTGTTTTAAGAATGGATTTTTTAGTTTCTATTCCAGACGGTACTTTATCGCTTTGGTCCTGTGTGAGTGTCTTTTGAATTGTGCTTGGAATGGCTTGTGTTTGCGTGTGACTTGATGGCGCTTCGCTCTCAATTTCTCCATCAGAATTAAGATTATCTAACGTATCTGTGGATGGTGTTTTGTTAGCTTCTTTTACATCAAAGTTTGTGTTGTATGTGTTAGCGTGAGTCGGTTGTAACGGAGAAGTGTTTGCATTTGTTGTCTTTAACGTTGATGGACTAGATTTGGTGAACTGGGTCTGTGCTTCGTTTCCGTGGGTTGAATAACGACTTGATGGTTTTACAAGTGGAGTTGTTCTGTCGCTTACGACATGGGTAGTTTCCAAAGTACCGGCTGACGTAGCTTCGTCATCTGCAATGTCAATGATCGTAAGAGTTAAGCATGTTGTCAAAAGAATGTAGCCAATACAGATCAAAACTTGAATACCATAAAACATTAGAATCGTATATACAGACGCATATAGGGCAAACCGCTAATTTGAAATTAAGTTTGTACGGTACTGTACTTCACTGTGTAATACCATAATTCATGACCATGTTTAACAAGAACATTCGAAGAATTTTACATACAATATCTACTAAACAAACGAATTTCGTCGTGCGAAACAAGAATTGATCAGATATTTAAATTGTTCCAGCCGAGAGCTCTAAAGCAGGCAAGGAAAATGAATACAATAGAGTTGACCGGAGCCTTTTTCTCCACTTCAATGAACAAAGTCATGACATTAGTTCCACCCTGGCGCTTCGGAAACAAAGAAACTCGCTACGTTTCGGTAGGATTAATTTGAAATGAAATGAAATGAAAGAAAACTAAACGCTTAAAGTCAATAGAGCGTTTGCACTCATTCCCCAGGAACCAACTGAACAAAAGCCATGGCGGCCATGCAGTTGGTGTTCGAGACAAAAGAGTCTAATTAACATTTGTTTGAATGGGTGATTCCAGTTATAGAGTCTGACTAAATTTTGATCTACGCACGAAGAACGAAATCCAACACCATAACCAAAAAGAGCATCTTAAAATGAGTAAAACTGCAAAGTTTGGTTGCTAAATGCTATAAAATGAAGAAAATATAGCCTGTGAAGTTCGCAAATTTTCTTATATATTTGTATTACGCGCGGTAAAAATAACCACTTTCGGCTCAAAAATGGTTCTTTTCCCGCGCGTAATATGCAAATATATACAAAATTTGTGAACTTCACAGGGCTATATTTTCCTCATTTTACAACAACTCGCAACCACAATTTGCAATTTTACTCATTTTAAGATGCTCTTTCCAGCTATGGTAATGGTTTTCGTTCTTCTTGCCTAGATCAAAATTTTGTATATAACTGGAATCACCTATTGGAACACCAACATGGCGGCTGTGACGTCATGTGCAAACGCTCTATATACAGTAATTTTATTAAACGAGATTGAGCATAATACTGTACGAAGAATTATCAAGGCCGAAATTTGTGTTATCACAACGCAAATATTTTATTTTTATCGACTATCGTATTTCTTACTTTCCTAAAAGAACTAGGTTGGAACTCGCTTCTTGGATCTTTCGCTCTTAAATGCTCTTCTCTTAATATCACGTCCCACAAATATTTCACCTAATTTTAAGGCCCTGTCACACCATTGAGATAAACGTATGAGTAACGTATAACACATTCGTCCGCATGTGCACAAAATTTTTAAGCATGCTTAAAAAAAATTCTGCCCTGCCGTATAAGCTACACGCGTAAAAACGCACAAGTTGTAACAAGTCTGCAAATAAGTTGTTACACGTCTGTTCACAAGCTGTCAACAAGTTGTGCTCGCACTGCTTGTTCCCAGTTTGTTGTAACAAGTTTGAAACAAGCTGTTAACAACTTGTAACAAGCTTGATGGCATTATCAGCCTTGTTACAAGATTGTGCTAACAAGTTTGTTACAGCCATGATATAACAAGGATGTTACAAGGTTGTCAACACAAGGTTGTAACAATCTTGTTATATCAAGCATGTCACAGACTTGTCAGAACAACCTCGCAACAAGTCTGATAATTTCGACAAGGTTGTTACAAGTTGTCAACAAGTTGTTCCAAACTTGTTGACAACTTGTGACAAGCAGTGCGAATATACATCTTGTTAACAGCTTGTGAACAGACTAGTCTTGTAACAAACTTGTGCGTTTTTACGTGCGTAGTTGAAGAGCATACAACCTATGCCTAAAGCCCACCGCACATGAGAGAACTTGCTGAGCTAACTACCTCGTGTGGCGGCTAGCTCAGCTATGCAATTTCACCGCACACGTTGGGAAAACTCCTCAACAACAACATAATTGACAAAATCATTTGCATTTTCCTCCATTTTGTTCAAAGTCACGTGAAGAAACTATGGTTTCTTATTGGCCAATTGATTCAAGCAGCTCAGCACTTAGCTCGCAACATCCGCAGACGTTGAGATTTTTTCCTCGCGAGGTGAAAAATATCAAACACGATAGATATTTTCCTCAAGGCCTCGAGAGGTCAAATCCTCACGAAAACTATCCGCACACGAGAGCAACTTGCTGAGCTAGCTGCCACGCGAGGCGGTTACCTCAACAAGTTTCTCACGTGTGCGGCAGGCTCGTACCCCTAGTGTATGCCAACGTATACCAGCGTATGAGATTGATATTTTCCATACGCTGGCATAGGCTAGTACGATAGTAGTGTGACAAGGCCATTAGTTCCTACTTGTAGTTTCTCTAGTTTTTTACATGTATTCACTGACCACAAGTAATCGGAGTACAGTAAAGAATAACCAATTTTGAATATTGCATGGTCATGTACAGTACAGTACAGTACATAGGACCATGCAATATCCAAAATTGGTTATTCTTTACTGTACTGTACTGTACATCTACTGTACTGTACATGTCTTACATCAGAACTTGCCCAATTACTGCAAAATGTTTGCATGTAGCTATAGTGAAAATTCACATTTGCGTTCCATATCTGATACAACACGGCTGCTTATGCTGTGTATATTACAATATACCTCTCACTGGCTATGCGCAAAGAAGCAGAGCATCCTTCTTCAACACATGCATGAAAAAGATTTTTTATTTTGACCAATAAATGTGAGACTAAGCTAGCTTTAACACGAAAACGAGGCTGAGGGGCCATGGCCCCTTTGGGCCCCTCAGGCTCGTGTTGAAGCTTATTCCCGCACTTATTGGTCAAAATAATAATTTTTTATCATGCATGTGTTAAAGAAGGATGTTCTGCTTCTTTGCGCATAGCCAGTGAGGAAAAAACTTGAATTCCATTCCATTTGAGCGTGATTTAAGGTGGTCCTAAGTTGAAAACAATGTGGTTGTGACATAATTACCGGAAAGGTCTATTACAGTATAAAACTACATACCTTCATCTAATCCAAGTTTGACACAATCATCCCCTTCTTTGGTCAGCATAGTTAAGTTAGCACAATTGGGAATAATCTTTAACAAGGGCGGATACTTCACGGCAACTCTCTTAGCGAGATTAAAATCATGATTACACACTCCCTCATAAAGTTGGTCGCAATCATCCTTACACAACCTCACTGGCTGCGGATGTGGCTTCGCCTCGCAATAAGGAAATGAGTACAAACACAGGGCAGGCAAAGCAAATTTCTTACAGTGTGATTTGAAACGGCCTTGGATTACGGTTAAAGGTCCAGATAGGCGTTTTTCGACAGCATTTGGAGGTTCGTCATAGTAGACAAGTCTGTTTGGATCGAGGTATTTTGAACATACTTCTCCAGTGTAATGTTGACATGAACCAAACCTGTTGAATGGAAAGAGTAAAATGAATGAGCGATGGATGTCTTTTGACACAAGACATTGGGGGATGTGAGAAATATTTTCCAGGAGGTCGATCACCCTCATACTGTAACAATTATATAAGGGATGGATCCTTTCATAATATATGTTGGTTCATGGTTCAACTGTTGATACTAGAAGCAGCTACGGCAGCAAGGCATAGTACAGATATATATATTACTCAGCACACTCCCAAATCAGGGTTTTTCAGTGACTGGTTACATTAGAGCAGACCGAGGTAGATTGTGAGCTTACAAATGGCGCTTTGAGCAGCCGCTATTAGTCCATACCTCATTAATGATCTCCGCCCCCCCTGACCTATGTGCTTTAAACCCACCCTGTCAACTTTCCCTGTGGGAGGAAACCGCAGTACTTGGAGAAAACCCACAACTTTCGGCAGAGCGTTGACTTTTTACTCCTTTCACATGAGGACTGGGTTTGAGTCGCATTGAGAAAGTTCTCACTGAGGCTTGAACCTGCAGCCTCAGAGGTAAACGGCAAGTGCGCAAACCACTTGGCTACCGAAGGCACTAGTCTGTAGTCTTGCTTGACAATTTCACAATCATGTTACTATCTCATTTTGTCTCTATTTTATTTTTGTTTTTGTACAGTAATTGCCTTAATAGGCAAGTCCAAAATATATGGATTGGATAAGGAAATTGGCATCCCCTTACATCCGTCTTTGCAAAGACTACAAGGCATGCACATCCCCCTCCCTCCCTGTAACTTCATCCCTGATTACACCAAATGTCAAACCCTCATCCCAGGCACACCCAAGGTGATCTGATAGGGTGGGTTAGAAAATTTTAGTGGTGACCCGTCAGCAAATATTTTGCATCATTTATGCTGACCCCTCTTGGACCTACCAGAAAATCAACCCATTAAGTTGAATTGCATCTCAATGCATGTTACTTTATTGTTTTACTCCGTCAAACGCCAGACGATTTACTTATCAAGGAGAAAGTGCTGGTACTCAATGGGTTACTATTGCATTTCTGGTAAGCACTAGTTAGTAAGTGTAGAATTTTCTGCGTGATTTAATTTTCTCAGCTGCAAAACTATACGGGTATATTAAATGGAAATCACTACTATCTACATTCATGAGTATAATAGAAACAGATTACCTTTTTTCTCTCTTTAAAGTTACATTTGACCCCACCACATTTGGAAGCCTAGGGAATAACGATAATGAGGAAACTAACTCAAAAGATAATTATGTCATAAATCTCTCCTCAATCTCATGAATAATAAACAAATTGCCGTCCTGCGAGGCATCTTGATTCATGAGAGCAATGGTCCTAGGCCAAGAAAGTATAATACATGTAACAAATAATTAAATTACATATTACTTACGGCAATGATGCATCACGGCCATGGGTAACAGCAGCTGAAAAATTAAAATGAGCATAAATTAGCTGGATTATGAGTACATCTTTAACACCCCAATACATCCTACTTTACCATTTTATTCAACTGTCAAATGTCAGATGATTTTACTTATGAAGGCGTGAGCACTGCCACTCAATGGGTTAATCAGATTATCTGCTCATGCATTCTGTTAACCCTTTAATTAAGCGGCAATGCACGCACCCTGATGTGCCCTACTTAATTACAATTTTACTCTGATTGTCTAATGCCAGACAATTTTATTTGTAAAGGGGAGAGTGTTGATGTTCAATGGGTTAAACAGACTGCCCACGGTGGTATGTATTCTGTCAACTATTTCATTGACAAGCAATTCATCTGGCATTAAACAGAGTGGAATAACAAAGATAGCTGGCACACTGCAACTTATATGCTAACAGCTGCTTACTTTTTCAAGTAAGGCCCTAATGCACCCTACATTATTCTTTTACTCGGTTTAATGCCAGACAATTTTACTTGTCAAGGGGAGAGAGCTGGAGCCTGGCGCTCACAGGCCGGTTAACATTTTAAATAATTTTTCTGTATATAGATGACCCTAATTTCCATTTTTTCTTTGTATACAGTTATAATATTCATTTTGCTTGGCTTATGTAGTTACAGTAACTAAGGATTATGGGCAATGCATGATTTAATATGACCACTCAATTGTGATCAATTCCTTTCTCTAATTGTCCACATATAATGACTCAATAAATCAAACACTACTGCACTGTCAAATTGCCATGACAGTATATTGGCCAAACTGCTCAATTGGCTCTCAAATAAATTATCTCTACATACAAACATCAAAGAAATATATTGGCTAAAAGTAGAAAAAATATATGCTCATTCTCATGCAAATTTTCCCCCAGGGAGGGTTAAACAATAACCACAAAGCATTTGATTAATAATTAATAACCAATTATTATGGTTTAATGTCAACCCCATATATTCCACAAAAAGTCTGGAAAATTATATGCCAACTTTGATATAAATTTATATGTGAAAAAATTGATTCAGGCTATAGTAAAATACGGCTTCCTTTTTAATATACGATGCAAGAAAAGTTGATTTGCAAATTTATACTAGGAATTTAAATATCAACGTGAAATTGACACGTTCTAATATTCTAATTGATCAAAGCCATGTCACAATTAAGATATGAATTATTGCCATACGATTTCGTGTATTTGAAAGAAAATATTGTTCTGAAACCTACCTCTATATCTTCGAAAAATCGACGGTTTAATGGCTCTGTGTACCCTAATCGGCTTACATAATTGTGCACTATTGCATTCGACAGAATAGCAATTTCTCTTTACATATAACGCTAAGCTACAGTCACTGCTGCAACACAAGTCAATGCATTCGTCGAAAGTTTTCACTTTCCCAATTTTATAATAAGCGCCTGCTTTTCGTCCTCCTCTCAAGGCATGATTCCGAAGCGTTTCGCCTTTTCTACACAGTTCAAAATCGTCCGATAAACTTGTACGTCGCCGTTGTATGTCGCTGTCTAAAATATATAAAATTATAGAAGGTCTCAAAAGTTGGTCATATACAAATATGATAAATTATAGAACTCTAATCCTACATTGTCAGCAAAAGAAACAGTATTCGTGGCATCTATGTAAATATATTTAATCGCTGAAAATGTATCAAAGCTTATAACTTACCTGTGCTAATCAAATTCGTCTGCAAAAGTATTAAAATCCACAAAAATATTGGACATTTAAAATACAAGTACATTGCCATCACATGGCGATTCGCGCACAAAAACCACGTTTTGATATAAAAATTCCCAATATTTCCATTCAGCCTTTCTCCATTATTCCGTCATTAGATCCTGGTGTAAAATGGCCCCATTAAAATAAGCTAAAAACGGCGTCAAAAGTTAAAAGGTTTACAAATTAATACAATCGATTATCGTAAAAGACAAACTAGACAAGAAGCCATGACGTAGCCGGAAGTAGAACTTTCATGAGAATTCTATACTTGCTTGTGATTGGCTAACGCGATAATTCCTTCCCAGTGCCCGCTGATTTCGAATTCCGAAAATTTTGTTTTTTTCAAATGAATTTTTTTTTCTTTCAGAAAATAGCTAGCTTTTTTCTCAACTTTGATTATATTCAACTTGTTTTTGTTTCCCTATCCCCATTTTATTAAATACAATATTTCAATGAAGTTTCCAATTTTCTACAAAAACAAAGTTAACTGATTAATATTCCAAAAAACATGGCGACCTCATCTAGTGGTGTGAAGTCTTGGCTTTTAGACAAATATGCAAAACAAGTCGACAAATATGCAAAACAAGTTGAGTGCAGAGATGGCGCCGCCGTTAATAATGCAGTGGAGTCTATGAGCTCCAAAGGTAGCGGGGAGTGGAAGGTAAATATAGCATATATGAAAAAATTAAAGGAAAATATAAATTGTAAACTTACAGTTTTGCTAGAAAACACTATTCCAATTTCAACTTGGAAGGGCAAAATGTTACTCGTTTTCCAAGCTCCGTCGTTATTCCTTGGTTATATAATTTAACTAATTACTTATAATATAGGTCATACACATCAATAATTGAGTTCACAAATAAATTTCGCTAATCTTTATCAATCACCAGTATCAATCATTTGAAAATGCACGTGCATATATCGAGATTTTTGGGCATCGTATTCTATTAATATATATATTCTTGGGTTTTTAATCACGAACAAGTTACGTTTTAGCATAATTTTACAGAAACAACAACGAACCAAAAGGCTGTCAACGCATTTTATGTAAATGAGTTATCCAACTATTATAAAAGTCAATAGAAAACAAATAAACAATATAAAAGCAGTCCATTACCCTTGACGCAGACCCTTGAGGTCTAATAGTAGATGGGTCTAATAGTAGATGGGTGTTTGCAGATTGAATTTTCGAACGCATATTTATATACATTGGACCATGGATTGTAAAAAATAACATTTTATTTCAATACGTTATTTTACAATCCATGATTGGACCTAATTCTTTTTGTAACTTATTTGTTTGCAGCAAATTTCGTCACTAGAAGGAGATGGTTCACTACAGATGACTTTAATTGAAGACAAACATTTGATGCTAAGCTCCGGATCCCAGATTAGAGTACGTCCATTGGTCAAGCAGAGGTTTCAATGACGAAGCCATGATATACCCAATATTATAATGCAATATCAATAATCAATCATGATTACGTTTAACATTTCTATACTGCAAAATTAGATGTGGATATGATCAAATCCTGTATTATGCTTACCTAATTACATACTTAGCCAGTGTACTGAGCCTAGACTATTTCATATTTGACGACAAAATTATATTACCGTGATTCAATTCTTAAAGTCTCTCAATTAACAGTGTTTATCCTAACCCACCCTGTCAACGTTCCCTCTTGGAAGAACCCAAAGCACCCGGAGAAAACCCACGACTTTCAGCAGAGCGTTGACTGACTCCTTTCACACGACTCCGTAGCGAGATACGAACCCACGAACTCAGAGATGACGACTGCGCTACCAAAGCCACATAATCATAATCAATCACAGTCAATCACATAAAAACAAATCGCTAAATAGAATAAATTAGTAGTTGTTACTAATTCTAAATATGATGTTTCCAATAATTTCAGGAGAGTTTCGCTCTTGTCAACACAGCTCAATGGTTGAAAACGTATTGCAAAGGAGACAGCGTGTTGTTTGTGGTGAGAATGAATGTGAGTGCTGAATTCTGAGTAAAGCTTTTGGCGTCGTCATGCATGAAATGCCCTCGAAAAGATATCACAGTCATAGGGCAGCTCGAACAAAGATAAAAACGTGTCAGAAAGCAGTCTCATGTACAAACACAAAGTCCAGGAATATCGTACTTTTAGGACTGAGCATTTCAAATAATTTAGGAACAGTAGTGATCAAAGGAGGGGCTGGTCATGACGTGGAACTTCCCTGCGAGTTCAAGTTTCGAGGAGACAGTTTTTCTTGCACATGCTTAAAGAAAGAAAATTTGTTTAGGAGATTACATTCAAGTTATTCAAGTTGTTGTTGTTGTTGTTGTTGTTGTTGTTGTTGTTGTTGTTGTTGTTGTTGTTGTTGTTGTTGTTGTTGTTGTTGTTGTTGTTGTTGTTGTTGTT